GACCTCTAGGAGCATGTTTTGAGTAAAAATAAGAGGGAAAATTTTGTGGTACAACACCAAAATATTAATATCATTATTTTTTTACAAATTACATTGTGACAGGGTGCTCCACTATAATCAAATAAGGGTACAAGAGAGTTTCAAAGTGATTCACAAACTAGATCTAACAACAGCAAAATCACAAAGCAAACCAGCTTACAAATAGAAAATAAAAAGATGGAAAAATACTCAAATTACATTGTTTATAGAGATTATTATATTAAAAATAAATTTCCATGAAGATCTAGATTTTAGATCTTCAAATAATTGAAGTTCGGGGAAGAGAAAATCTTGGGTGCAATATGTTTTCTGAAATTCTAGCACTTTCAAATGATGTTAAGACAGATGCCACAACACCAAAACACAATGTCAGGACAGATGTGAAGACATCATCTTCATGATACATTAATTTAGAGAAATTATGAATTATGCAGAAAGTAAATTGTTAAAGATAAATAACACAATTAATTGTTAACCCAATTCAGGGAAACATCACCTACTTTGGGGGCATCTAAGCCAGGAAGGAAATCAATTATGATAGTATTAGTTCAAAGCTAAACAACCCTAGTTTAACACTTATCATCTAATCACTACCTATGCAATTTCTACCTAGGAATCTCCTAGATATGAGAACCCCCTCTCATTTTTCACAATCATCTCAATGATAATAACAAAAGACCAAAACAGAAGAACACGCCTTCAATTAAACACAATACACTCTTTGCTTAAAAGCTCATGAGTGATTTACAATGAACGGTGAATAATTAGTCAAACTCTATGCATCAAACAAGAAACATGAGTGACATACAAAAACAAAATACACTTGAAAAAATCTCAAACCCTAAGACTCTTGAAAACTAAGCTTCCCCTTATTTTTTCTTAAGTTGTTCACATTAGGTTTAGGTTTTTCTTTATAAACTCCTCAGCAGTCCACGATCTTCGAAATCTTCACCCAATTTGTTGTCGATCCACAAGTTGAGGGTTGCACCAATTATGCAGAAAAATCTCCTTGAATTATGGAACAAAAAATCACAAGTTTCCTAAATTGTCTCAACATCCAATTTTAGAACCTTGTACACAACTGGAGATAAAATCACTTGTTCCAAATATATCCTTTTGGACCTACGCAAGTATGTGAGATATATCCATAGTGAATCTCACAAAATCAAATCAGAACCTTCTAGAAGCAACAGCAGCATCTGCTATGACAAATGACAAGATGTCACATCTTGCTCAACATTTGACTGTGATACATGTTTTACTAAATGAAACATGTTTTACCAAAATTATTGTCAATTATAAAATCACAGACTTAACATTTTCAATTGCTTTTCCTTGCATTTGTCTCTGATATAAAAAAAAGGTTAGATAAATAAGGGTTAGATGAAGAAACGATTTTCTGCTCAAAAAAATATTTTCAGAAAACAAACCTTAACCCATATAATTTTCTGCTCTTGCAATCCATCATGGACACTTTTCTGCTCACGAAAAAATAAGGGTTTTTAGGTTTCAAGCGCATCATGTTTTGTTTAGGATGATTTTCAATATCCAACATGCTTTTATAATGGATGTCTCTTAGGTTTCACGCGGATCACTAATGACAGAGTCTTGAACATTGATAATCACTAAATGGACGACAAAGATTTGTTTAAGGCTGGTGAATATAGTAAAAATAAAACGCTTAACTATCCACTCGGTTACGACAAAAACCAAGGTGAATATTTTTTATATTAAAATATTAGCTTCTCTTACATCTCGGTTTTCAAAGAAACTCGGGGGGTAAGATTAATATTTTTTTACAAAAATCAATACATTATTTACCCAGAACATTAATACATTAATTTGTTTACAAAATATATTGATCACATATAATATTAAAAATACATTGTATGCAATAAATCTTCATTGATATCAAGATTTAGTTCTCCCTAAGATTTTTCGCTGATATCCATCTTCTGAAAAGTTAAGTTCCCTTCTTTATTTAACTTTTCAAAGGTTGAGCTTCATTCTTTGTGTAACTTGAAGAAATAATGATTTTTTTACACTTGTGATCTATCAAATGAGGAAAAATACAATAACAACAACAACAACAACATCAACACCATTATGTGAGATAGACTGCAAGGATATAAAAATGTTTTGTTTTAGATAGAAGAACATTGAAGATTTTTCTGTCTTACAATTCATCCTAAATAATGATGCATGCGAGTTTGGACGGCTTCATATTAGTAAAGATTAGGGTAAAATATGTTTAACGAGTGTTTTTATAATAAAATCTGATTATTTTATCCCTCGGTTTTATCGAAAACCGAAGAGTTAGATCATTTAGTTTACACTTATAAACAAATAAAAATATAAACTGCAATAGTTGGGAATCGAAGTGTGTTCTAATTTGTTTTTCCTCTCGGTTTTTAAAATATGTGATTTTTTATTATTATAAATAATAAAAGATGGTGCACATTGACATTATACCTCAGTTTTTTGTTGGCTGAGGTGAAAGCTTCATCATGAAAAATGTTATTTTTTATAGTGAATGATACTTTTCGTATATAGCCTAGATGGAATTCGTTAAACTTCAACTCGCCATTGCACCGATTTGACATTGATCTCTTCATTAACTTGACATTAAAAATGCATGTTTACATGATGATATTGAAGAAGAAGTATATATGGTGCAACCACCAGGTTTGTTGCTCAAGAGGAGTCATCGACTATGATTTTTCGGCTACCCCAAGTCTATTTATAGTCTTAAGCAATCTCTGAGAATTAGGTTTGACATATTCAGCATTGTAGTACAAAATTTCGTATTTATCATATTGTGTATATAGATGATATTGTCCTGACTGGTAGTGATGAGCATGGAATATTCCAATTGAAACATCTTTCAAATCAATTTCTGACAAAAGATCTTTGTAAATTTCGTTATTTCTTTGGTATTGAGATAGCTCAATATAAAGATAGTTTGGTAATTTCTCAGCGGAAATATACTATGTATATTTTGGAAGAAACGAGTTTGTTAAACGCTAAACCAATAACTCCTACCCATTCGAATGAGCATTTGTATGACTCATTGAATTATCTCACAATCACTAGTCTAGACATTTTTGTTTGCGGTTAGTGTGATAAATCGGTTTTTAAATTCTCATTGCCAAGAACATAAATGTTGTTATTAGAATTTTGAGATACATCAAAGTGTTCTATGAAAAAGGTTTCATATGAAAATGGATGACATACTCAGATAGTTGAATACTCTGATGCTGATAGAGCAGACTCGCACTCACCTATTGATAGACGGTCCACTATGAGTATTATGTATTTGTTGGAGGAAACATGATCTCTTGATAAAATAAGGAACAAAATGTAGTTGCAAGATCAAGCGATAAGGTGAAATATAGGGTCATGGCATATGTAACATGTGAACTCATTTGACTAAAGTGGTTGCTCAAGGACATTCAAATTAAAGAAGCGAGACCAATAACAATTATTTGTTATGATCAAGTTACATTGCATATTGCTTCAATTTCAAACTTCAATGAAAAGACCGAACATATTGAAGTAGACTATCACTCTCTCAAAGAAAATATTAAATTAAGTGACATCATCATAAGTTTTGTCAATTCTAATGATCAATTGGAATATGTGCTAACAAAATCCCTATGATGTTAACAAATCTCCTATTTGTTATGATCAATTATTTGTTATGATCAAATTACATTGCATGTTGCTTCAATTCCATACTTCAACGAGAAGACCGAACATATTAAAGTAGACTATCACTCTCTCAAAGAAAAGATTGCATGTTGCTTCAATTCCATACTTCAATGAGAAGACCGAACATATTAAAGTAGACTATCACTCTGTCAAAGAAAAGATTGAATCATATAACATTATTACAAACTTTATCAATTCTAATGATTAATTTGTTAACAAAATCTATATGATGTTAACAAAACCCCTATGAAATCCCATAACTTAGTGCATTTGTTTATATGCTCAAAGTTGATGTTGTGTTTTCTCTATGAAATTAAATACAATTAGTTGTACAATTCAATATATAATACAATTTTCATAGTTCTATTCAAACACAATTTTATTCAATATCTCTTATTCTCTCGAATTTTAACATATATTATAATGATCTATCTAAGAAAAAATATTCAGTTTTATTCCAATATTTCTTATTCTCTAGAAAAAAATATTCGGAATTGTACTCAGTTTTATTCAAATATTTCTTATTTCTATAAAAATATTGTCAAAATTGAATTTGTTTGAGGTCCCTAGTATGTGCGAGACCAGAAGAAAATTGTGATTGTATTGTATAAATGAAAAATGTGATCACTAGCTAATTTTAGAGTTGATTTACTCTGAAATTTCGAATGAGTAAATTAACATTTTAATATTTAAAATTGTTACAATCAATCAATTAAACTTTTAAATTTAGAAATAGTAATTTAATCTGTTAAATAAAAAAATATCAATCAATTTGGTCGTTTTCTCAAATTTTGAATGTACTATTTTGATTTGGTGGATCAAATAATTATGTAAGTTAAAATGTGTCTTTTATTTGTTTTGATAGATATTTATTCTAAAAATATTTTGATAGATGAACTAAACTAATCAATTTTTTAAATTAAAGGACAAAACTGTTACTATGTAAACTTAAAGAATTAAATTGACTGATTTTCAGACACCCATCAAACAGAGCAAATAAGAATCATTAGAAAGAACACAATCTACTAGAAGAAAAAAAAAGGTTAACAAAATCAACATTATATCATCATCATCTAGGATTCCACTCAAAATTTTCTATCTTTAAATAAGATGTGAGATCCTCTTTACAAAAAATAATAATTGGCCACCCATTAAGTTAGGGCATGGGTATATTTTGTGTTTCTAATCTTGCAACCAGATACCATATAATCTGGATAATGAAGAACCCGAAATGAAGCTATTGAACAAAATTAGACAGATTTTGCCGCAACATAGTAATCCCCTACAGTGAGAAATACATGCTCACCAAGTACCACTTCGGCCGCAGGTTGATGTTCAATGGAGTCTACAATTTTCTGCAACAACAGGAGACAAATTAATTTCTATAGTTTCACCAAAACAAAAACAGACAGGGGACTATAACTCAATCAAACACACCTTTCCATTTCCATCCTGAAACTCTGACTTCAAATTTGAATGATCTCTTGATAGCAGGTAAATTTGCAAATTGTGTGCAAATTTGGAGTCACCTGTAGCCACAGAAGAACAGTAAGTCAGAGCAACCAAGGATCACAGATGATGTCCAATAGAAAGGCATCAAAAGTACTATCTATTGTTAAATTAATGCATATGAAATTCACCAAAAGAGAAAATAAACCTGAAAATAGTGAAAGAATGGCTTTTTCATTGAACATCGACATGGGTCTCGCCAAGGTGATGGCAAACGACATGCTCGAAATTCCATGGAAACTCTCTTCACCAATGATAACCTGCAGTGGTTCAAAGAATTTTAAGATGGAGTGACTTGAAACCAAGGAACATGAATTATGATATTTTTAAGATGGAGTGAATTTAAAAGCAACTCCCCCTGCATCACATAGGAGAGGGAGCAGGATGCAGGACAATAGGATGATAAAATCCAGGGCAGAATTCATTTGCCCTATTAATTTTTATCATTTTCAAATTCCGGCATTAATGTTTAATTAGGGAAAATTCAGCTAAATAAGTTCAGAAGAGTTAATTTCGAACATTAGAAGTTCAGTTGAATGACAGGGTACAATAGAGCTAGAGAAACTTAAAACATAATATTGAGATGTGGTTGGGCCTAATTCAACCCTACAAAACCGGCTTGTAGAGTGAGGATTGCCCCCACTTATAAACACATGTCCAGGCCATATATTGTCCGATGTGGAACTCTTAACACACCCCCTCACGCCCAGGACTAGACAACTGGAGCGTGGAAATAAATGGTGGATGGCCCACTGGATCTTAAATGAGGCTCTGATACCATGTTAAGATGTGGTTGGGCCTAATTCAACCCTACAAAACCGGCTTGTAGAGTGAGGATTGCCCCCACTTATAAGCACATGTTCAGGCCATATATTGTCCGATGTGGGACTCTTAACACATAAATCACCCCATCTTCGTACAAGTATTTTTCAAATAAAGCTTAGTAGGACTTAGTAGGAAAATGTAAGTTATCAAAGGAACGTAATGAATGAAGTGCGTGAAAGGGAAATAACAATCAACGACGATACAAAGCTGAAGAGAGCACACAGAATTCAAACTTCAGGAAATTGTGTCTGCATCCAAATAAAACAACTTACTGCATGTGCAGGCATCAAAGAAAATTGAAGCAATGGAGAACCAATAGCCTCTCTGATATAGGATTCCTGCAAATATAACATGATAAAGATACATTACATTAGAAATTTTAAATTAAGGAAATTAATTAATGCCAAGAGTGTAAAATGGATACTAATTAATAAGTTGTCCTTAATTAGAAATTAGAAACATTGTTTAAGACCTACATAGATATATAAGTTGATAGTTGTTTGCAAGAGAACAGAGTACTACCCTTTTCTTTGAAAGTCAATTTTCTCATTTTGGTTTTTAAACATGCAAACCCCATCCCCCACACCCAGAACAATACTATCTAGCCTTCAAGACTTATTTTACATTAACCAGGAGTTCACATTTTATTATTTGGTAATTCATTCAAAACCTTTTCCTTAAGATGATACTATTTTGAGATATAGTTGTTTAACATGTTATTTGAAAACTCTAGAGATTTAGTTTTATACTTAGATTCTACAAAAATTAAAAATTCTTTCATGATAACACTTTTGGGTAGAAGAAAAGTCATTAGTAAGAAATCAGAGAAATAGCCAGAAGATAAACAAGCCTGCTGAGAATGAAGACTTCCAAAGTTCCAACTGTTGTAAATTCGACAGTGATCTGTTTATCAAAATGTGACAACTCTAGTTTTTCAATATTAAAATAGAGCACAGGACATCAATAATATGTAGTTATCTTACTTAGTCAATATTTATATCTTTTATCGACCTAAATTCTGCCAATATTAAAAAAAAAATTGTTGGTAGACAATATTTGTGAAACAAAGGAAAGAAAGCAGCAATTTTCTTTGCCACAAACTTATCTCTCTAATCCCAACCCGTCATCACTGTTACATTTATGCAAGATAGTTTTCCATCCTTTTATATTATGGCAAAACATATGCCTTCTTTTCTGCTTGTAGAAATATGAAGCAATTGCATTACATGAAAAAATAGTGTTACAAGGCTGATTATTAATATTTTAATTCTACCTGTGAATGCAAAACTCTCTGAGAGATTGATGTATCATCATCCAATGATTGAAAGTAAACCTCCACTGTGTCAGTTGGTTCAAGAGCAATTTTCTTTCTTAACTTCTGAATTCTGTTAACAATCTGTGGGACAAAAACAATTAATAGATTTAACTTAGTTTCAGGCCTTAAAGATGCAATGGGATACTTAAATTGAGGTAAAGTGTAAAGCATAATATATATAAGCAAAGATGTAAACAATCACCATTTTGTTTCTTTGGAAAGTTAACAGAATTTGTTTGGAACGCTATATTATGGTCACTAGTCACACAATCATTTAGATTTGTAGAAGAAAAAAAGTAGCACTCATGCATTTTATGAGATCAAGTAAATAGATGGATGTTTCATTGATAACATCTATGCACTTTATAAAGAATAAGATCAAGGAAGTAGCTAGGAAATTTCTCCCACAAATTATTTTACCTCTCTAGCAGCACCAGCCTCAAACAATGACTCGTCGGGTCGCAAGTCCAATATAACTAAAACATCACCTACAATGAAGAGAGAGAAAAAATCAATTTTGTAGAACCATATTTGAAATAAATACAGGGTGGCCTTCAACTTATTTCTGACACCAGTTGTTTCACCACAGAAGAAAAGGGAGACATCATTAGCTATTAAAAATTCTCACCATCCCCAGCAGCATCAATCTCATTATCCGCCATACCATCAGGACGTTTAAAATCACGGAGAACCTGAATAAAAATAATATCATAAGGTCGTAACTAAACAGTCTACATTTCAAGGAAAATCCCATGATAATTGATGCCTCAAGAAATGATTGCTTTGGGTTCCTATAGATTTAAGACTCAATTACATATCCAAAAAATAAATGAACTCAATGTCATGAACAGTACAAATTAAAAGGAATTGCTGATCGATCGAATATCTTCTGTTTTGAAAGGAAATACTACTGAGATGTTTTTGGAAAACATGATACTGAAGGTTCTAGAGAAAACATTGAGCTAAATTTCAGAGATGATTATACTAAACATTCGTACAAATCTAAAAGACATCTCTGCACTAAGGATAAAGAGCACAAACTATTTGGTTATTTATTTTTGTGAAGACAAATACAAACTTTTTGCAAATTGAGTCTACTCAAAGAAAAGAGAATCTCAGTCATCATCTTCAATAAGATTAGCACCTTAATATCAGACAGCTGCAAACAGTGACTTGCAATGACAACTTCTCCAGCCTTTTCAAAAGCCAAAATCTTTTCCTGTGACATTGCTTTGACTTCTTTTGCAACAATGCCCATAGATTTTCCTAGTCGCTTACCTAAAACACTGAAAATAAAAAAGAACAATGGTTAACATTGTGACAGATATAAAGGGAAAACTTTTAAGGAAGTCATATGAAATGCATACCTAAAGTCAGGCTCGGCGCGTAAGCCTGCATACTTTAAAGTATCATTACATGGAACAAGGGATCGTATATTGAGTTCCTCAAGTACATACTGTAATGCAAATAGATATATCAGAATACAATTAGACTGAGTGGAAACTGAAAATTGAAGAGGGGCATATGGGAAACATGCATACTGAAAGAAAAGATGATCATTAAAACAGAGACAAGATTAAAAAAGAGTAAAAAAACAATAACCATTTTAAATATTAACAAGAGCGAAAACATGAAAAGAATATTAAAAGCAAAGATCATATACAAGGAAGCTCATAATATGAGCCGTAGGTTTGTTTTGTCATCCCATTTAGAGCGTGCACCACAACCTCTTCAATATGAAGCATCAAATGGATAGAAATTTGATTAAAAAAACCAAACACGCAGAAAGATTATTTTTTAACATATCAATGTCATCAGAAAAAATATATAAAAAATCAGCTTAATCAGATTTCTGAGAGGCTGCAATTATAGAACAGTATAACTGATCAGAAGCATCCAGAAAAAAATGATTATGATATGAATTGATTGAGTACAAAAACTGCTGAAAAATACTACAGGTACACGAGGTAAATTGTAACCGCTTGTGACAATATGCAAGTACCTCCTTCAACTTTCCATTAATGTCTTCAAGGAAGTCTGCATCAGGATGCACTATGACCATCTCCCTATATCAGAAAGAAATATGATTTTTTTTTATATATAATCAGATAAAGATTTTTTTATAAAAATTTTCTATAGACAACTTCTATGTATACATCTTTGCATATTGAGTTACCTGAGTGGTGTCTTAAGAGGCTTGTTATGACGCTCACGAATGTTTCGAGCCAGATCAATTATTGTCATCATCCTTGAAACACTTTGTTCAATACGCTCTCCCCCCTGAAAAAATCAAGCAGCCAAATAGGAGATGGTATATTAGGTAGCTGTTATATATCTAGAGGACAACTGAAGCAAGAACCTAAATTCATATTAGGCTGCAAAATCCAATTGCAGATAAAGAGAAGAGAAGATATGAAATCATCCATTAAATAAAACTTAAATAGGAATATGATGATGCTTGAGAAACGTAGCTCTTGATTTTATGTGGGTTAGGATCATTGAAATAACCCACACATATCCAAAGGTGAGTCTAACAATGTGAAATGCAAATGTTACTAAGTCTAATTTGAATCAATTTTGCATGTGTTATGTGGTGTAGATCCTTGTTCATCAGTCAGTTACTCAGTTTCCAGAAAAAGCAAACAATTACAAATGAACCAACTGAATAATGTCTTTCTATTTGTATTCAATAATAGATTGCCTAGAAGAAAGCAGTAAAGACTGCTATCTATTGACTAAAATGTATGTATACCTTGCCTTCTTCCTCAGGGAAACTGCAATAGTGGATGCTCTCCTCTGATCCATTAGATGCTTTTCGCATATTTTGATAGAGTACCTCAGTGAAGAAAGGTGTAAAAGGAGCCATCACTTTACAAGATAACAAAAGCACCTGAAAGAATTCACATATATCAAATTCCACAACTACTCTGGTGTAAGGAACCATCACTTTCAGGCCCACTAAGAGGCCTGAAAAGGTCAGGTTGTAAGATATATCATATTGCAACAAATTAACCATGGTATATAACATAAGTTAATCAGAAACATACATTGTATAGAGTTGAAAGTGCTGTCCTGCAGTCTTCTTCACCAGTACGACCTTTCAGTCTCTTACGGTTGAACCGTACATATATATTTGTAAGGTTATCAAGAAACTTTAGAAGATACGGAACCACCTACAAAATGATTTTCAGACGATGTCAAGATTTAAGAAAATACCTAAAACATGGGAATAATAATTATACCGTGCATCTAGCAAAAGTATAATAATCTCGGACAGTAAATCTCACAAACATGCAACAATTTTAGCTGAGGAAATACTAATGCCTTTCGCAAGTAAACAAATCAGAATTTAACATTAATGTGAAAACCAGAAAAAGACAAATCAAACTGGTAAGGCAGCTAGTTCAACTGGTTTGGCTACCAATAAGGTAAAATACAAAAGAAAACAATTAAAAATGTAGATAAATAAGTTAAATAGTAACCTAAAGATGGTAAAACAGCTAACTAAGTAAATTTAATAACTGAGCATGTAATAGCAAGAACCATATATTTTTGCAGATTCATTGGTTGTTAGATTTTTTAGATATTTCTGTTATGTGCAAATACAGTATAGTTCAGAAACAAGAGCTAGAACTGTTTTGAAGTATTTAATTTTAGATATACATAGTTTATCTTTAGACATGATTTAAGATGGGGCATTATAGCAGCCCTTGATCCACGTAGCCAACACCATCTGGTGAGAAAAGGCCTCTTTTGAAAGATAGAGCTACTTTACTCTCATATAACCTCTCAGGGTTATAGCAGAGAACGGTATGTCCTTTCTTTTAAAGAAGTTTTTAATGATATCAGGCTGTCCATGGCTCTTTTAAAGAGAAGGAAATATAGTGGCAGCACTTAATATAGGCTATTCTTTAGTACACTCGGTCAAAGCAGAATGCTCCTATCATTAAGTTTGCAGTTTTGTTTAACTAGTCATCCTACAGTACTACATTTATGGTATAGTTTCTTTTTGGTGTGCTGCTCTTGCGGTTACAGGAAAAGTTGACATGTCCAGTGTGCAAGAGATTGCAGCCTCCGTTAATCTTTCATATTCCTTGCATTATCTTTCTACTTTTGGTAGGATATCTTATCCTGTCCCAAATTGTATTTTCCCTCTAATAAAAACATTTTCAATTCCAAAATAAAGGATCAGCAGAAGCATCACCGTATAAAGGCGGTAACCATCCATTTCTTGCCGAACAAAATGAACAAGGCTCTGTGTGGCTGAGTTGATCCACTGATCAAGAACATTTGATGACTTCTGAAGTGTGGCCTGATCAAGAAGTACAAAAGGTGCTAGACCCTCAACCTCAAGCCTCTTTGTATTTTGAACAAGGAACCTATATGCATTATACCAGGGAAGGAAAACATCTCTAACCTACAGATAACCACAATGGAATTAGTAAATATGAAATTAATTAAATTTAAATTAAAAAAAGATAGCAAAAAATAAACACAGATGGGTGATACTGACAACACCATAAACTCCTTCCTTCTTGAAACGAAGTGGCTCAGCACGCACAACAGGAGAGTTTATAAGATACAAACGCAAGGCATCCTATCCAACAAAAATAACATCATAACAGTGCTTCATATTGTAAATCAAACTCTATTGAAGTCATAGCCATAGCTAAAAAAGGCAGTCAAAATATGTTTTTTGATATTGCATTCTAATCCTCATAAAAAAAGTTTCGAAACCGAAAATTAATTAACTTTTAAGTTCCTACCGCTCCATAATCATTAATAACATCCATTGGTGAAGGATAGTTTTTCAGGCTTTTGCTCATCTTTTTTCCATCTTCGGCCAGGACAAGTCCATTGCAAATTAGATTCCTAAAGGCAGGCTTACCAAATAATGCAGTAGCTAGCACCATTAGGGTATAAAACCTGCAAAATAGAAAAACAGAAGACTGAAATACACAACCATATTTCAAGGGGTTGAAATTACAAACAAAATTATAGACAAAATTCCAAAATCCAAAATGAAGATATTGAGAATAACATTTCAAAGCAAAAAGTAATTCATAACTAAAGCGGCAAACAGGCCTTTGATAAACCACACGTGTGAAAATAAAGAAACTGACCAACCACGGGTCTGATCCAGCCCTTCAGCGACAAAATGGCCAGGAAAATTCTTCTCAAACAGCTCAACATTTTCAAAAGGATAATGAATATACGCATAAGGCATGGACCCACTTTCAAACCAGCAGTCAAAAACCTGAAAGATGAAACAATTGGTCCATAAAAAAGAACAATGCCTTTAGCTACTAATTACTATTGTATTCTTAGAGTGTCATAAAAATAAATCTCTACTTAACCATTTTAGAATTATCCTTTCAACATAGGGGTGGTGATAATCAAAGGGATAATTAGATGTGATTATTATCCTTAGGTCAACATAGGGATGGTGATAGTCAAAAGGAATAGTGTTAACTGTAGAAGCACTTGAACAAGTGAACAAGACCAAACATTTCTAAGCAAATTGTAAGATTTGAAGCTTCAACAGAAACCACGTAACTACTGGGAGTAAGATGTAATTGAGGATCTTAATATGATCATTGTAGCAACTTATCTGGGGTTTTGTTTCTGGTTACTTTTCAGTTCGGGATATTTCCAGTGTTTCAGTGGATGGTAGTTGTTTAACTAAATTGATTATGTACGTCTTTCAGTTTTCTATTGCCCAAAAAATCTCGTTGGATCAACATAGCCAATGTTAAATAGCATTTCAGTTTTGACAACTTGAAAGAGTAGATAAACAATACAAAACCATGATTAGGAGATAAACAATAAGGAACTATGAATTTCAGTTTTTACATCATCAACACGTCGAAGCACACGGCCACTTTCACTTTGAATTGTAATATGATCAATGTTGTGCCGATGAAGGTCAGACACCTGTAGAAACCATTACAAAGGGATCAATGATGTTTTATTAATAATATGGCAAGAGTAACCATGAGAGCTCATAAAACAAATAGAACGACCATTTTAACAAAATTTATAATAGTTTAAACAAACTTGAATAGGAGAGAGCCACTTTGGAGCAAGTACATATCTATCTATCTACTATTCTCGAAAAACTTTTGGGTTTTAGATATATTATTACCTTCGTAATTCTGTAGCATCATAAAGAAAATATTAAAATTACACAAACTTAGAAAGAGTAAACAAAATCCACACCCCTTCCATTTTACCAAACAAAGAAGAAAGAAGCATAATATGTTAAACTGTGTGTGAATTCATGCAAAACAAAATCAATTGATAATGACACGAATCATATACAATTTCAAAAAGGTGAACAGACAATTCTAACCTTTACACCTGAAAGCTTTTCAAGTTTTGCAACAGAATCTATGACAACTATCTCTTTCTCATCCTCACTAATCCATATAGGGAGAGGGGTCCCCCAAAATCTACTTCGACTAATTGCCCAATCTCTTGCATTTTCCAGCCAATTGTGAAATCGTTTATCCTGCAAAACGTAGGAATATAGGAACATTTACCGAAACTATAGATTACATAAAATTATAGTTTTCTTCCAGTGCCATTATTAGCCCCAGGAGATGTTAACGGATAAGGATGCATTTATGAACACCGTTAAGTGTTCTGTGCCTGGATTTTTTATGGAATATTCCACAAAAGAATATCGTAAAGAAAAATGAAACAGTAGTAACAAGATCAAATAATAAGCAAACAATCAAGGAGAATAAATTGGGATGAAACGGAAGACTATGGTACCTTGACAAAATCAGGGACCCAGTAAGTCTGTTTATTGTTTTCCAACAATTTCTCTTTCAGCGACTCCACTCTAACAAACCTATAGCATGATAAGTTTGGGATAAATTAAAAAACAGGCTAATAAATGGTCACCAGCATCATACTGTATAAAATTACACCTAAAGCAAAAAGGGTGTGAAGTAGCTATCACCGGATAAATATCAACATAATTTCCATACTAGATAATCAAAAACATGTAAAACTACTAGCATAACATGAATATTTACAAAAATGACAAATTTCACACTTCTTTTGTAGAAATGCAGATTATAATCATCGACAAAAGGATTGCATTATTTATTCAAAGAAAATGTTTACTTCCTAAACCATGGAAAACATTAAAATGTAAGAACAGAACTTTAAAAAAAATGAAAATAGAACTATATCCAAGCTTGAGATTTAAAATAAAATAAAAACTTCTCTTTTTCTCTTTCTACTCTATCTTATGTTAGAATAATAATGCAAGTGTGAGTAAGTGGAAAAATAGTCCCACATTGGATAGGAATGTGGAGACTTGAACATATATAAGTGGGAGAACTCACTCAACTATCACCTTAGAGTTTTAGGTAGATAAGTGGTGTGTCTCTCACAAAGAGATGCATAATCTTCAACTTTGTATCAATGATCCTAGTAACTCACCCCCAACATCTTCATTCCACAAAAGCAAAAAACTTAAGAAAACTGTGTATTTGGAGCAATGGAGCAAACAATTATTTTAAAATTAAAGCACAGCTTTTCAGTTGGGTTCTTCAACCTAGTTTGGTTATGGAAAGAACAAGGAAGGAAAGGTGTGAAAATGGGTTCTTCTACTGTTTGGATCTCAAACGAAATGAGGAGGGAAGCTTAATCTTAGAGAACGCACTTATAAGATACTTTATGTGCTCTTTTCGGCAAAAAACAGAGCAAGTGAGACAGCTGAAATAAACATTCAGGTAAGCAAACCTGCTCCTTCAGCTTTAAGCTCTACGTTTTTTCCTTATTTTTTAAATACTTTATTGAAATCCCAAAGACAGACAAACCTGCTTCCTGTCTTACCCTGTTCATTACTTTTTCCTCGGCTTCTTTATATTTTTAACAAGTGCAAATACAAATCACATTGAAACTGGAACAAACCAATGCTTCATCAAAATGAGCAGAATAGGAACTACAAGAGCTGCGGTATGGAAGTATGAATATGAATAAACTAATTATTTGAGGTAAAATTTGACAGGGCAGCATTGTTGGATCTGAAAATACTAAATTGAGACTGCACTGTGTCAGTAGACAGTAGTGATGTGTTCCTTTGCTAATTTGCTTGAAATGCTGCTACAGTGATTATTATTTGGTAATGCATGTTTACTTACTACTCCTATATGCGCTTTTAAACTGTATGCGCTTTTAAACTGTTTTTCTCTTTTACACAAACAATTATATTAGAACTTGTTCTCCATGCACCACCTTAGTGTTATCTAGATTGGCAGCTACGTACCATTGAAAAGTAAATACAGTACGATAAACAAGAATACGGCTGAAGCATAAAACGAAAATTACCTATCAAACAAGCCACAACATGGATACATCAATCTTATGATAACAACATTCTATCATCATTTCCCATTACGCCACATTTGACCACTCTAATGTATCCCAAAATAGTAATACTGAAAACAATTAAGAACTGAACTTCTAGGTTGCTATCAAATATCAACTACCTAATGAAGTAATAATATCCAGACTTTTTTGTATTTTTAATATCACATTTCATACAGGAGAAAATGAAAGAAACGTGAACACATGCAACATTAGCAATTTTTGTTTGATAATTCAATTAGGAAATTAAAGTAAATCATAGCTAATGCATAGAATAGATGAAACTTCATTGCTGACAACACGTGAAACTAGGTAAGTCTAGCAAGAAATCTTGGTCAAACAAGCTTACCAGCTTGGAACAGCTCTGTAAATGAGTGGAGTATCAGATCTCCAACAGAAAGGATAAGAATGGGTAAAAGCTCCAGATTTAAACAGCCTACCCTTTGCCTAAGGAAAGATGAAAAAGGAAAAGAAAATGATTTAAATAATCCAGTTAAAATAAAGTTCTGATAAACATTACTCAACATAGTAACATAAATACGACATAGTAACATAAATACTTGGTGCGTGTTTGGTTTGGCTTTTGAAAGGACCAAAAGCAGTTCTAAGAGTGTAGTATTGATTATGGGTGATTTTTGAGATGTTTGGTTAGACAAAAGGAGAATTGATTCTGCCTTCAGAATTGATTCTACTTGAAGCTAGAATTTGTAGTTTATGTCTCCAGAATTGATTCTAGATGATTTTTACACTGAAATTTTTTGTTCAACTCTATTTTACATAAATGTATCCAAACATAAATCAATTATGCCAGAATCAATTCTACCAAACTCAATTCTGTCTACCGTCAATCCAAACACCCCCTTAGTAAGTTGGGAGTAATGCATTAGAGTTCCTTAACAGCACAAGCAAAAGAAGCGAGAAAGCTGTTTTAATTAAATGTTATCCTGTTTCCTACATCAAGTTTATCGTATTCTTTAGTATGAAACCTCTCATAAAAACCAAGCCTTTTCTTTTGTTTCATCTTTTTACTGTTCAAACTGTTTATTTTAAAAATAAAAAATAAAACATTGGGAAAGGGAAAGTAATTGTCATTATTCAATAACGACAGTACTAATGAACATTTAAAAATTGTTCCCGGTGAAATTTAAACATTGTACGTAGAGCTTACAAAGTCAAACTCTAACCACTCGGTTGACATCTTTTGGACAAAAATAAGGGCTTTCTTTCCCAATATTCTCAACTCTAAAGAACAATTATAAATTCCTAAATATGTCAGTACCGACAAAACAATATGGGGAATGAAATTACATTCAAGTGACAATATTCTTTCAAATTACCAGTGCCTGTACTATAAATAACTCCTAATTAATAAAGGATTCTATATGTAACACACCTTCACTGCTTCAATGATATCCTTGTCAGCTTGTTTGATATAACACCCACTAAAGTCGGTAATTTTTTCAGTAAAGCAGCCATCATCATCAACAGCTACAATAAGTTTATCCTACAAGCCAATACAACAATTGAGTAGTGGCATTGGGAAGGGATGGTACTACACATCAATAAACAACTAGTTAATCTACAAAAGTAACCAGAGAAACAGAAATGCAAAGCCTACAATTATGGGACAATAATTCAGTAGCATAGTAGCCCTGCAGCATTTTATTTTATTTAGGCATTGGAGCATCTTCAAAATAGGAAGATTAATAAACAAGAAAGGTATTTCAGAAGGAACACATTAGCACCAAGGTTGTTCGTGCAATGAAGTGACATGAAAATCATCATAAATGATGCAGCACATGATATAAAAATTTGGCATGATATAAGCAGATAATGCACCAACCTATTTGGTCAATGGCAGATAGAGGCCCGCCACAAAAACACTTTAGTGGTAAGGCCGCAATTAGGGGTGACAAAAAGGGTTGGGCCCGCCGGATTGGCCCGTTTGACCTGCCATTTTTGTCGGGCTGGGCTGAGATTTTCAGCTCGGTACCTCAAGTTGGCCCACCCCGCCTCACCCGCTTAAAAAAGCGGGCCGAGGCGGGACGGGGAGGGTTTTCCTCGCGGGCTTTTTGTTAAAAATTTTACTTTTTTTATTAAGAATTAAAACAACTTTAACTATAAAAACAACAATTATCTCTTAGGATTTTATTATAAATTATTATACAGACAAATTGAATTATAATTGTAATGTTCTTTCTATAACTTTCTAATACATGTGTTGATCGAAAATAATTGAAATAAAAGAACAAATGTATGACATGCATAATTATTAAGTTTTCAATATATTAGCTCAAATGTTTTCTTTAGAAATAGATGTTGATTAGCGTATACGTGTGACAAATTTAGGATTTAACTATTAAAGAATCAGTCAATATAAGAGTTTATATAATGTAAACAGTGAGAAAGCTCAGTGTTGATATTTTACGTATTACTATTTTATGCATTGTGATGTTTTATGCAATGTTATTGTTATCATTGTTGGTTTTGTGTAAATTCTGAATTGCGTTCCTTTTAATAGTTAGTTTTTAAAGGATTAAGATGATATGTATTGTTTATTTATTTTGATTTTTTTTTATTGTGCTTGAGTTTATTTTGTTTTTTTTTTGTGTAATTGTTCTTTATTTATTAAATTTTTTGAATTGTTTGGACTTAAAACATCTTGAAGTTCTATTATGCGTTGTTAAAAAAATTTCTTTATCGACCTCTTTGGTAATAATTAAAAATTTTCTAAATATGTATTAAATCAAATTATAAAATTAAAAAAATTAAAAATTGACGGGCCGGTCCACCAACTCGTTAGTAAACGGGGCGGGCTTGACTTTTGAACTCGAACCCCTACGTTGACCCGCCCCTCCCCACTTTTGGACGGGCTTAAACAGGACGGGCCTAAATGGGGCAGGCCACCCGCTTTGCCACCCCTAGCCACAATATTGAAGTTTAGAGAAGCAATACAAGTAGTCTATGCCATGAAATAAAAGGTAAAAACAGAGGAATACACAACATTAAAGACATATTCATAACTAATAATCAAAGCTCATTGTTACCAATATTCAAACCAAACAAAAAGCAAAGACTTTTTAGTCTCCAAGGCCTAAAGAAACTAATCTGAGATTATAAAATAAACATAAGTGATTCTGCTAACGGAATCACTATCTCCATCGTGAAAAAGTTGCAAAGGACCGCGGGAAAGCCGCGTGAGGTGAGAAGGTGAGATGAAGCTGTTTTGGAGAAGAAATGACAAGACAAGAGGACCCTTTTTCGTTGTCATTCAGAATATTAGGGGAAAATGATCAAAAAGTCCAACTAAAACAGAGGGAACAGCTTTAAATTGAGGGAAAATAATAACTATTTCAAGAGAAATATACATATATGAAGGCATAGAAAGCAGAGATTTAGAATATTACTTTGCACAGTGAAGTATTATGCTGCTCTAGCTGAAGTAGTTTGGGAGGAAAATGAAATATCAGTCATTATAAATTATAAATTCCTAGAAGTAAATACCTTACTAATAATTTTATTCTCAATGCAAACTCGAAAATCATCTTCACCAAAAGCAGCAGCACAGTGGACAACACCAGTACCACTATCATCAGTTACATAATTGTCGGCAACAACTTTAAAAGCTGTTTCAGATAGCTCGTTAAAGTAATCAAACAATGGTTCATACCTGCAGAACAGTTCATTATATAAGTCTTGCAACATAAAATTATCATTGATTTTATAGATAAAGTTAAACTAATATAAAAGATGAATGCAATATATGGAAACCTCTTCCCCACTAATGAAGCCCCTGTGAATTTCTCAAGCACATCAAAAGAATCTAATACATTATCAGCCTTGCCACTTGAAGTGCCCTTGTTCTTTGCATTTTTAGGGACACTAACTGAACTATTAGCAACAGCCTCTTTGGGCTTGTCCTTTGGATTATGGAGTACAGACAGACGAGATTCGGCAACTATATAAACTTTACCAGTATACTTATTGCGTACCTGATTTCATTTGATTCAATAATTAGATTTCAAGGAACAGAAAAGGGGCCAATAAAAAAAGTGTGCATGTACATGCATGCTTACATTTCTGCACCTAATTTAACTGACCTTCAAATAGGTAAAATTAGCATTGATGCATAGAGCAAGATTGCTAGGAAGAGTCCATGGCGTTGTGGTCCAAGCCACGAAAGATGCACCATCTGGATCGCCCAACAACGGAAACGTCATGAAAACTTCAGGGTCAGATACATCCTGTGCCAATATAGAATTTTAGATGTGGATTGTGGATATTAGTTATTACTACAACAAATGTATGTCATTACCCAATATGTGTGTTTGAACGAGCGTTTGTCAAACATGATTTTGAATGTAAAATCGACTTCATAATAAATGATTTTGAAATGAAATCATTTGACTTTGAATATCTTTACTCCAAAAGCAATTATATCAAGTCAAACTTAATCTAAATATTTTAACCAAAAACTATGCTCAATTACTTCTAGTCAAACCAGGGTTTGAAGTCAAATGTAATTCTACTTCAGAACCACCAAACACGTCAATAGATCAAACTCAAGTTAGGGACTCTAATTCCACTTTTGCTTATCACATTTCCATAGCAACAAAGCGTGTATATTAATTAGGTAATAAGTAATAACATAACATAGTACGAAAACACTTTCCAAAACACTTTCCAAGTATCGCAACTAAAACCAAACAAGACGGGAAAAAAAGGTAAAAGCTCACAAAAAGTATGAAATGACTAACCTTATAATTCTGGCCAGCCTCAAAATTAGATAGTGGAGTTTTGCAGCCAGTACTATATGGCATGACCTACAACAAAATTCACAATCAAATGGTGCTATTATATTTCTGTAATGTATGTTCAGATTGGCCACAAATTTGACAGAAGCAAAATGACAGTGATTCCATGAAATGCACAACCATTCGAAACATGCATGATAATATAAAATACAAAATGATAGTAATGGAAATTGGTACTACCTTGAAACCTTTATAAACAAGGTTTTTCTCATAAAGCTTAGAAAAAACCCACCAAACAGACTCCATAAAGTTAAGATCCATAGTCTTATAATCATTCTTGAAATCAATCCACCTCCCAGTCCTAGTAATAACATTCTCCCACTCAGAAACATACCTAGTCACAATACTCCTACACTCCTCATTATAAACCCCAATCCCAAGCTTAAGAACATCCTCCCGCTTCTTAATCCCAAGCTTCTTATCGATCTCGTTCTCGACCGGTAAACCATGACAATCCCATCCAAATCGGCGCGTGACATGGTGTCCGGTCATGGATTGGTAGCGCGTGACGATGTCTTTGATCGTGCCGGCGAGAATGTGGCCGTAGTGAGGAAGACCGGTGGCGAAGGGAGGACCGTCGTAGAAGATGTACTCGGGTTTGTCTTTGGTGAGAGATAGCTGTGTGTGGAAGGCGTCGATTCGGGACCAGAAATCGAGAATGGTTTCTTCTTGCTTTGGGAAGGCGAAGTCTTTGCCTTCGCAGACTTCTTCCATGGCTCGGTGGTTCTTAGTTTTGGATTGGAGAAACGAAGGAAAATTCAGACGCCGCCGCCGCCAAGCTCTAAACTCTTAGCTTTGATAGTAACAGTAGAACTATCAGGGTTTTGCTGCTTCGATGTAGAAGAAGAAATAGTAAATAATTGTATTTTTTTTTTGGTGAATTTTAGTTAAATTTTTAATAATTCTTAAATTTATCCCATTATCGTCCGTCGCTACTAGGCCACAGCCACGACATTACCCGTATTTATTTATATAATTTATTTATATAATATATTTATCTTAATTTATCTTAAATACAAGATTAAAAATATATATATTTAAATTAATAATAGATTTTTTTATATAAAAATATTTAAATTAATAATATAAAAAATTCCGTATATTATTTTTATATCATTAATAATTGAATCACAAATATTATTTTTTTATTAGATATCGTTTACAAAAATATCTAAATCAATAATAAATTTTAATATATAAAAATATTTTAATCAATAATAAATTTTTTCTGTATATATTATTTTTGAACCAAAAATATTTGGATCATAAATACAATTTTTCGTATATAAAAATATTTAGATTAATAATAGATTTTAAGCCTTATACAAATATTATTTTTATTTATGTATCGTTTATAAAAATATTTGGATCAATAATAAATTTTCGTATATAAAAATATTTAAATTAATAATATAATTTATCTGTATATTATTTTTGAATCATAAATATAATTTTTCATATATAAAAATATTTAAATTAATAATAGATTTTATTTCATATATAAATATTATTTTTGTTTAAGTATCGTTTATAAAAATATATAGATCAATATTTAGATTAATAATATATTTTTTCGATATATTATTTTTTAATTAAAAATATTTAAATAATAAATATTATTTTTCATTTATAAAAATATTTAGATTAATATTAACTATATAATACAAGAAAAAATACAACGATGAAATGAATTGGATATTAAAAATATTTAGATTAATATTAATTATTTTCATTATCCGCTTGTAATTTTGTTACATGTATCTCACTCTTTTCATTAAACTTGATCAATATATTTTATAGAATATTTTTTTGATCGTACCTAACCAGAATGGACCGTCACAGCTTACGTCGAGCAGAACTTGAGAGTGAGGTGGAGGTACCTGCAAGACACTCTGATGCCAAAGTGAGATTCAGAATGAGCTAGCAAGCAAGAGTGAGTAAGAAATGTTCAATACCAAACCCTCTCGAAAGAGATGATATTTATAGGCCTCAGTGTTGGGTCAAGGTCTCCTCATCGGGCTGATCATGTAGGCCCAAAGTGGAGAATGTCATGTCCTACGTGAGTAGTGGGGACCAACATGTGGTCTCCCAGCTGGATGACTTCCTCCGTACGATCAGGAGGATATGGATGCGGCCTTTCCGGAGCTACGGAGACTTTGTGATATTCAGAGACGTTGATAGTCAGCCCTACGGGGAGGATGCTCATAGGGATGTTTTTGCTCATCGTAGATGCTCCACGCCAGACACGAGGCCATATGGAAGAATCGGTCTTGGTCGAGGAGAGGATTGTAGGGTGACCTCGGGGTCCTCCTAATCGACGATGATCTTCCCAAGACTAACTGGGTTTATCCTTGTGTGGTGAGGCTACCTCCTCGCAGATAATGGAAGTTATTGTCTGACGCAGTCGAGGGCAGAACTGGTCAGCATGCCTTGACCGACATTATTGGGTTGGGCCTCACATGGAGTTGGACCAAGGGTAGGCCCAGTCCAAAATAGGAGCCCCCCAAGTCGTTGCTCCTGATGAAGGAGTTATGACTTGAGTCTAGCTTTTTCTTTTACGAGGTGAGTTACTCGACGAAGATCTTTCATTGTGTTAACGGAGAAAGTCATCGGTGTGTAGGTTTACCCGAGCAGCGTTCAAAATAGATTCAAGATGGGATCATTCTAGTTGCTCCTCGACTCGCGAGGATGGGAGAGCCTGCGGGGTATAGACATGTGGCGTGACCTTTGGGATTGTAATGATGGCCTAGGGAATATGGGCCATCATTAACTGAGCGCATAGATATCGAGGAGAAAGGCGGTTGGTGAGCTGCCCGACACAACATTTTGCATTCCACATCAGCTCTATATATAGCGCCCTAAGGCCCATTATTCACATTTTACATTCTCACGCTCTTCACTCTCCCTATTGCTAACACTGTCCCGTTTTCTTCAACCGCTAACACCGCCACAAAATTTGTCGCGTGTTCTTCATCTACATTCGTTATTCCTCATCTATTCTTGTTCAAGTAAGTATGTTTCATTATACTCTTGTTTAGATTGGCTTTGATGTTGTTTTAGTTGTAGAATTTCGCCACTGGGGGGGTGCTCGGGGACTTCATGTATTCGTGCGTACTTTTTGTGTATGAGCCTGTGATATTCAGATTTTCACCGACACTTAGATGAAGTTACCCCGTAGTTTCCACATGTCCCCGCGGAATTCATGAATTTTGCACGAGAAATTGATGCAATCCCTGGAGAATTCGTGATTTTGGCGGGCAAATTCATATTTTGCTCGTTGTATTCATCATGTGCCCGGGGTGTTCATGAAAACAAGCGTTCGTCGTTATAACTGTTGTGTGGTATTATAAGACTGGCATGATTTTCATGCCCTGATCGAGGGCCGTGTACTTCCCCTTTCTGCTCGAGTGACTGTCGACTTGGTTTGGGCGCTGCATAACCTTTTCACCTGCGTCGTCAAGGGATGGATTTGGATTTGTTGTCGAATTCACCAGTTTCCTCCACCTTACAGGTAAAATGGCTGACACTCCCGAATCTTCCGAGCATATGGACGTCGAAGAGACCAGCATAACCGGGGAAGGTGTCAACTTGGTTGACACGATCGATGATCCTGCATTGGCTTGGGTCGGGGCAAAGCCTCGAGGAATAGGCTCGATATACAGTTATAGTAGGAGGCAGACTTACACTATCGTCGAGTATGGCGGCAATCAGGATGGTTTCCAAAGGAACTTCAAGATCTTGCGACCGACGCCCATCGCTCGAATATGCTCGGAGTTCGAGGAAGACCATTTCCCCATGTACGAGGTCGTATTCAAAGAGTTGGGGATTCACCTTCCCTTCAACAATTTCCAGATGGGGGTGTTTAATCACTTGAACCTAGTACCCTCTCAGCTTCGCCCCAACGCCATTGCCTTCATTCAGACATTTGAGATTACTTGCCGGTTCATGAGGATCAGGGCGACCATTCCCCTGTTCTTCAGGGTTTTTCATCTACAACGGCAGTCCCAGGGTGGGAAACACAATTGGGTCTCCCTCAAACAGTCAAAGAGGCTGTTTAGGATGTACATGGACTATGCTTGCGACTTCAAAGACATACGGTATGTCGTACAACCTTCTACTCAGGCAATCATGGACGTCGTGCTCGACCCGACCTCCATTGTGGATGAAAATGGTGAACTGTGTTATGATGCGGAGGGTAACCCGGAGGTTGGGTGACTCTCGAAGTTTCCCATCCATTGGTGTTCGGGCCACTACGATATAGTCTCAGGCATTACCATACTCCCGTCGGTGGCATGAATGATGAGGACAAAGAGGCTTATGGCGTCCTTAATCGGTTCGTCGACAGGTTCTTCCCCGCCGGGTGGGTCATGAGGGAAGGACATGACATCCTCGATGAAGATGGTGAGTCAATGTTCGAGGCGCCCGATCAACACCAAGGCGCTCGTCGAGTGTCATTCTTACGGGCAAGCTGTGAATCTCTTAGGTTTCTGCTCGCTTGATTTTACTATATTTTTATTTCTTGACTTGACTTCTTTTGTTTTCTTGTCGAGGCTGACCCGGGGATACTATTTTTGTTTTTATAGGTAACATGGTGGAGCACCGTGAGAGATTGTTGAAACTGACCCAAGAGAAAAAGATCCATAAGAGGTTGGTGAAGCCGCACCAGGCTACATGCATGGGTTCAGTTTTCGAACCGGTCAACGAGGGATCAAGTGGGTCATCGGGCACCCGCGATGTTGAGCAGCACGCTGCTGGGTTAAACAAGAAAAGGAGTCGCCCAGAAGGTGGGCTCGCTGATGTGACTGAGGGAGGGGTGATTACCCTGGCCTTCAACCTACTGCCTTGCTTCGTGGAGAAGGATTTCTTCGAGGGTTTTCCTCTGATTGTGTCAGTCAATGAGTCTGACATCATCAGGAGCCTCGACAAAGAGGGTCGAAGGAAGCATCTGGCTTCCAGTATGGTTGGGCTGATGAAGGTGGTGGAAATGGTCGTGGTCCTTGCGGGTGAAGGGGCCGACTCTTCTGGTTGGGTCAAAGAACTAGAGTCGGAGAAAGCGACTCTTCAGGCGAAGACACAAAAGTTGAATTCCACCCTCGAACGAAGCGAGGAGATGTTTCAGGAGCAGGCCGATACGCTGGCGGGGGAGAAAGAGGGAGCTGAAAAAGCCCTCGAGGAAAAGGAATGTCTCTTGCTCGACAATAAATTATGGGAGAGCGAAAGGGAACAGATAGAGAGGGAGGTCGTTGACCTGAAGGCTGTCATGATGCCCATGGAGTGCAAACCCGAGGGGGTAACTGATTTGCACACTCACGCCGATTTCGTTGCTCAGATTCAAATCCTCAAGTCAGACTGTATTGATGCTTTGGCCGACGACTTCGAGGCTGTCGTGAACCAGTTGTCCGTGTTGAACTTGGGACTCAACATCGAAGGAATCGGGGTTATGTCCCAGGTGATTGACGGTCGGGTGGTTCCTCCTCCTGACTCTCCCGAGGTCGAAGTGGGCACTCCGAGGAGTCATTAGCATTTTTTAGGTAACTTAGCTATTTGTATTTGGGCCTGCGTGCCCGTGATTTTTTGTAACATTCAGACATCACCGGTTCTAGCAGTCGACATTTATAAATGCTTTACTTCACTTCAATGCCTTTATATTTTTGCTGATGCTTGCCTATATTTTGCTCGTCACTATTTTTGACTTATTTATTCCATGAATGTTC